GCCTGCCCGCCTGCCCGCCTGCCGCCTGCCCGCCTGCCGCCTGCCCACCTACTCCTGACAGGACACTGGACTACTCACGCCTTTAGGTGAGCGCCATGGGAAAGATGGACCCCTCAGATGCCCAGACCGAGGACTCCCTACCTCCTCCCCAGACCCCGCCGTTCACCCACGCCGCCAGATTTCTGTGCACCCCAGGGCAGACTCCACGGGTGGGGCTCTGTCCCCATAAGCCCCCAGGGGGCCTGCAGTGCTCTCACTGGGCCAGGAGGGCGTCGCAGGCTGCTGTCCAGCCGCCCTGCGCGGCCTCTGTCCTGCAGTCCTCAGCTTCTCTCCATCCTTCCTGGAGCCTCCAGCAGCGAGTGAGAGCAGCCCCGGTGCCCAGGCCAGTGGGCTGGCCCGACCCTCCTTCGGCCCTGTGAGGGGCCCCTCTGACCACGACCCTCCCCGGGCCACGGCGTGGTAGGCCCCTGCTGTCCCAGGGGGGAGGCTCTGCCTGGCGTCATCCTCCTTTCTCGCAATAGCCTAGTCCCACCTTCGCTCCGACTGTGCAACTCCCCGTTGCCTGTCAGGGCTTCTCTGCCCAAGCTGGGGCGCGGCCAACTGGCCAGTCACTTCAGAAAGCAATTAAACCTCCAAATTCATTCCGGCGAATCTTGGTTTTAGCAGGACGTAACACATTTATTGACTCCTTGTCTAAATGTGCCGCCTTTGGCTCATTTTTTTGTGCGCATTAGTTGTTTTTCTCCTGTTAATCTGTCTTGTGTCCATTTCGTCTTCAAAACAGCCAAAAGAGCTCAGAGGGGAGAAAGCCCCGCCCACCCCCGCCCAGCTTCAGCGTCCACGGCTGAGTCCACGCGCACCAACCTCGTTTGGGGCGGATCTCCTACAAGTCCAAGGCTAATTGCATTGGCGGGGTGAGGGCTCCCCCTTCCCGACACTCTTACCTTGCCCAGCTTGGCTCTCAGCCTCCTCTCCCCCGGGGTGCTAAAATGGCCCCAACGACAGCCCATGCTGCATAAGCCGTCAGGTCACACACCCGGACTCACGCACCACTGCCCCGCAGAGCCAGGAAAATTACACGTTGGAAATGAAAGGGTTTGCACGCTGCTCACAGAGGGTGCTGGCTTGCTTGCTTTTTTTTTTTTTTTAAGACTTATTTATGCACACAGAGCTGGGGTACAGGCCAGAGGTGCAGAGGTGGTGAAAGGACTCCCCAGAGGCAGAGTGGGGAGTGGAACAGGGAGGCTGATAAAGTCCACCGCTGAGGGGAGAAGCAGGCGGGTCAGGAGAGGTCTGCCGCGCCATGTGGTCACCTCCGGGGCAGGCGAGGATCGAACTCGTGCTGAAGTGTCTTTAACTTCTCAGTGCTGTGCTTTAGCCTGCTGCGCCACCAGGGAGGGCCCTTGCTTGTTTGTTTTCTTAAGATTTATTTATTTATGCTTTCAGAACTGGGGTATAGGCCAGAGGTGTGGGAGTGAGAGGATCCACCAGAGACAGAGTGGGGAGCAGAAAAGGCAGATCCACTGAAACATGCTGCTGAGGGGAGCAGCAGAGAGACAGGAGAGGTCTGCTGCGCCCTGGGTGTCACCTCCAGGGCTGGGGATCGAACTCATGCTGCAGTGGCTGTGGTAGCTTCACAGTGCTGCTCTCTAACCTGTGGTGCCATCGGGGAGGGCCTGAGATCAGATGCTTTCTGAGTGGCAGCAGGAATTAGGAGCTGTGTGAACAGGGTGGGGGGTGGGAGTTCACCCACCCAGCCAGCCGACTGGTCTTGGCCCAGCCACTGTACCAGACGTCCTTCATTCCACAGCTATGGGCCCCCTCCGGCCAACCTGCTCTGGCCCTGGACATGGAGGTCATCAGATCGCAGTGCTGTCCTCGGAGGGGCTCAGACAATGGGAGAGTCCAGAGCCATAGGTGCGTCAGTGGAGCTGCGTGTGAAGAGCGGCAGCCAGGCGAGGGGCCTCTGGGGCCAGGCGGCGGGAAGGGCCTCTCAGGGGACACTGGGACACCCCGTGTGGTGTGAAGGGCACAGCTGTGGCGGGGCGCATGCCGGGCAGCTGCCAGAGCAAGTGCAAAAACCCGGGGCCATTCTAGGAACCTGCTCCATGCTCCCAAGGGCGCCCCGTCAGCAACGATACCTTCACCTGGTGGAACTGGATCTCTGTGAACAGGACTAGTCACCCCAAAGTACGCCACTTGGACATAAAGGTAACTTTGAGTTGAAGAGAATGGAGC